CATACACAGTATATATATATATATATACATATATATATATATATATATATATATACATATATATATATATATATATATATATATATATATATATATATATATATATATATATATATATATACATATATATATATATATATATATATATAAATATATATATATATATATATATATATATATATATATATATATATATATATATATATATATATATATATATTAGGTATGCTATAAATCTAACTGATCCTACTACTAATATTCCTATAATCTAACGGTTTTACCTATAAAATTGAGAATGCTATAATCTAACTAACTCCCTACAAATCTAACGATGAATATTTACTCATTTCTACTGGCTTAGAATATTGTTGCACCACGACCACAACAAGAGGCCAGGCACCATCTGTCTCATTTTGTGTACCAGTGCACCAACTGTTATTGTTGAAATTTCGTCTTTGATGAAATTACGTTATTTGTATAACTATTTTGTTATACAAGCATATAATTGTAACAATGAGTCGCCCAAAGCGCAGGAGAAAGCTAATAACCCTGGAAACTAAGAAAGAAATTGTAAAGAAACGGAGAATGGAAGAAGCATTAAAAACTTAGTGATGAATATGGATGGCTAAACGACTATATGCTATGATTTGAAGAATAAAGAGGAGTTAAAAACTGTGCAAGTGGCTAAGGAATCTTAGACTTAGCAAAGCAAAGTGTACGATTGAAGAGATGGAAAATTTACTCTTAGTGGATAAAGGAGAAAGAAATGGCATAACATTAGTGAAGCTATAATTTGAGAGAAGGCTAAACAATTGTTTGAGGACCTTAAAGCCAAGACCTCAGTGGAAGTGATAGTGATGTGCCAGTGTTTAGGGTACCTGCATGCTGAATAACAGTAAGGCAAGATAAAGTACCTATTTTTACATTTTCCACATAATTTTTCCAGTGTTAAGTCGCTATTTAGCCTGAACGATTAATCCTATATCTATCTAATGCTATAAATTAACGATGTTTTAAACCAATTACGTCATATAAAGTATCCCATAAATATATATATATATATATATATATATATATATATATATATATATATATATATATTATATATATATATATATATATATATATATATATATATATATCCTGGATTTTAAAAATATTTATCGTCATTTTGACAACCATTATAGGTAAGCCACTCAATCATTTTAATTTCAATACAGTAGTGTTGTATTTTCTGCACTCAGCAACTTTTTCTCACCTTTATTTTTCCATACAGTTAAATATACACCATTGATAAATTACATTTCATCTCTTACATGAAGCAAAACCTTACCATGAGCTCAACATTACTACAGGAAACTCACCCTATGCAATCCACTGCTTGTTCTTCATGACAAATAACAAGAGCTCTGACTTCTTCATTGAACTGTTGCCAGCCTTTTGACGAGCTTTGTTATTGTCTTTCTCAATTTTCTGCAAAGAAAATATAAAAAGAATCATGGTTACTTCATTAGACATGCTTAAAGCCCTTCAAATTTGGCTCCTACGATGTGTCCATCAGATTCAGAAGATATACAGCACCCACTTCTTCTCAACGTCTCATTTCAGCTCACTGATATCATACTTCCCATCTGCCCATGAAACCATAAGGCAGTAGCCTGACCAGTAACCATAAAATGCAGCTACATCCTTAGGGAAGAAATAACTTAGATAAAGGATAATATGTATAAAAAAAATCCAAAATTAAAATACATAAAAGATCAAGTGAAGGAAATAACAAATATTTGACTTGCTAGAGCTATGAGATCCAGATACAGAAAGACCTGTAAAAGCCCAAAATGACGTTATAACTCCTAGCTAATGTAAACATTATAAAATATCAGAAAAGTTGTAACATCATAATCATCAAATTGAGCTAGTAATAGAAGTTTAAACAAAGGGATGTGAGTAACATGCAGAAATTAAAATGTCCACAGAATCATGTTCCATTTCATAAAGGTTAGTATGAATGTGATAAATTTTGAAGCCAGTTTACCTATCAATTTTTTCAAAATTGAAAGTGCTGCTAAAGTGATGCTAGGTTGTGTGAAGCAACTAGTGGAAAACAAAATGAATATCGGGAAAGAGATTGTCATCGAAGTACACAACTATTACAGAAAAAAGAATAAATGAATGCCAACAAATAAAGGAACAGAGCAAGTGTATACCTTCTCTTGATTCTGGCCACCATACAATATTCTGGGAAAATGCTTGGTAGAGTTAAAATATGAAGTAGGAGGAGTAAACCACTTGGTAAATTGAGGCCTTGTTGTGGGAGGGGAACACCACAACCAAACACACTTGACGAGAGAGAGAAATCACCACTTACCTCTAAGTCCATATCACTGGAGCCAAAGTTTGGTATAATGATATCCTCCTCATCGTTCATATACTGCATGTCCTTCACAGCAATCATCTCAAACACTTGCCTAATAATATGAAAAAAAAAGTCATCGGAGATATTTTTATCTATGACTGAATTTTTGCAAGTTTTTGCAGCTCAAAAAATCTGCAAATAATGCTGAGAAAGAATCAAGAGCAGAACAAGGTCTTTGATATCCTCAACCCCTTTGCTACTTTTGTTTTCGCCGCTGGCTTCAAATACAGTGCTGGCGTGTGATGCCATTAAATCTTTCGACATGTGACCTCGCCAGATGTAAAAGTATTTACAGACAAGTCCTGGTTCTGCTGAGTGGACTGTCTTCGACTGGTGGCAGTGCTGCCCGCCCCGCCATGAGACAGATCACCCTCTCTAGTGATGCTGTGAAGACCAGCCTTCTGCTCGCACTGGTGAACACCGACTCACAATCCTGTCCAAGAATTTGTACTGAAACAATTTACGCAGTACTGTTGTCTCTTGGAACATCATACTGATTTGCATTGACCTGCGCTTGTAAGTACAGCCTAAGTGATGACATACCCCTCGGTATTGAAATATTGTTGACTAATTACGCCTACTCGTTTCTGCCTAACCTGGAGTAACAAGACGATGCGGAATGAAGCAAAGCTAAGATTAATAGAGTTATGAACTATAACACTATGTAGCTGAAGCCAGCGGCGATAACAGCTACAGTAACATACTTTAATATTTTATTTGGCTAACGTCATATAATTATATTTGGCAGAGAGAGAGATATCCCTCGTACCCAAAGGGTTAATTAAATAAGCATTTTATTATTATAGGCATAATAAGAAATATCTTGAAAATTGAAAGCAGGTCAACCAAGCCCGATAGCCCTTGAAGGGCAGTGTGGATACAGCAAACTGAAGACTATCCTTTCCATACACATGGCAGCTAAGGACACTCTACTCTGCCCCCATATGCATAAAAATGAAATGCAAGGAACATGATGATGGCCACACATCCTACAGCTAACTTTCACAGATTTTGGCTGCTGTTTACAGGTTAACCTTGAAGAGAAGTTTTTGGCCAGTAGCACATGATGTCAGAGGAAAATGTAACCTACGACCTCTATGATATTTGAAGCCTATGTTAACCTAGATTATTCAATAAAAGAAATGAAACATAAACAGAAGAATGCTACCTCTAATAAGTGGCATTAATAAGATGGAGCTCGGTCAAAAAATACTGTTCAGTACCTGTATACAGTGTAGAAGTCCTTCTCAGAATCATTGAAGCCAGAGTAACACTGACTTGAAAAGAACTCAAACAGATTAACAGTTTCTGGCGTAGGATCTGAACCAGATCCTGAAAGAGTAAAATTATGGAGGTTAACTTCATCAAGCATTAACACATAAAAACTAAGAACATCGAAGGTGAATTCTCATAATATTTCTTAATAAAATGCACCCAGTTAATAGAATTTCAGAACCTTCACTGAAGCAGGTAATGTTGAGGACTGATGCTACAAAGCCTCTACCTAAACCTCATCCAATTTGCAAATTTATGGAACACTGATTTTAAATATCATTTGTACTGATGGTGAAAGTGGGGTTACATTCCAGGGGTTTCAAAATTATACTTTAAAATTAAAGTGAACCACAAAATTATTGTTCTTTTCCAGGGCCGTATTATCAAGGGAGCACAGTGGGCACTGTGCCCAGGGCCCATGAAGGTTTTTGGAGCCTACGTAAATTGGGAGATTTGCTTTTTCAGGAAGATTTAGTTTACATACCAAAAGAAAAGAATCTTGGTATGTAAACTAAATCTTCCTGAAAAAGAAACTATGGTTTGGAACCTAAAGATGTGATACACGACAAAGAATAAATATATTACAGGTACTGTATACCTTTACCCCTGAGAATGCTGTCACGGTTGCGGTCATAAAAGGCTCTCTCCTGAGGATCAGATAAGGTTTCATAAGCTGCCTGGATCAGTTGAAACTGAATTTTTGCTTCTTCCATATTGTCTGGATTCTTGTCTGGAAAAAATATTAAAAGCTTATCCCACAAAATATAATTGTTTTGTGGGTGTGGCAGTAGATGTGTTGAGAGCAATTTGTTAAAGGTACATAAGAAATAGAAGAGTGAATTACATTTAAAATCGGAAAATTTAGGATAAACTCGGTAAATTATCAAATCATATACAGTAGTTATACAGTGATGTACTGTATATACTTAATATGGGAGAATAAAAATGTATCAATAATAAGACCTTTAAGACACAATGGTAAAATAAATATATATTTTTTAGCAATTAAATACCTCAGCTCGTTTCCTTGGAATGTTATGAGCATTGGTTAAATAAATACTGTACTGTACTGTACATGAATTTCTCACCTGGATGCCACACAAGTGCCATTTGCCGATAAGCCTTTTTCAAGTCAATATCTGTGGCCCTCTGGGAGACTCCGAGTACTTCGTAGTGACACCTCATTTTCTAGGAACTCCTCACTCGTGTCTGCAAATAAAATCGTTAATACAATAGTACTGTATAATGTACACCACACAATGGATCAGTCTTGATATGCTCAACTTTAAATAGGAATAACAAAAAACAGTACAGTACAGTATACTAATAATGAAAATCAAGTAAAAACTTTAGAAACCTACTCATAATCATTTTACTGCCATTTACCATGCTTACATGGGTTATCTGCAGTCTCTTATAGTCGCTTTAGTCAGGTTCTTAACTCTAATGTCATTTCTTACTACCTCTCCCCTTGTCATTTTTGGCCTACCTCTGGCTCTCCTCCCCTCCACATTTAAGTTCCTGCACCTCTTGGTAGCAAATTATATTTTTTCTTAGGAGGATTCAAGTCTTACTGTCATAAATGATTTACTTCATTTATCTCTCTTATTTTGCTCTGTTGACAAGACTACTGTACAGTACATTACTTTACAGGTAAGTAAAAAGTGTTACTGTTCACCATTCATAGTTGTTTGTTATGTGTTCTGATAGATTTATTTCACATATTGAAAGAAACTATAAATAAAAATCCCATAAAAACGTTTAAGGAAATAATGTCTTAAAACAGTTAAATATTGTTTAGCTCAGTTAACATTTTCCTGAAAAACATCACACTAAATGAAATCACAATAAAGAAATACCTGCATGTACATTAACATTTCCATTAGGAATATTAAAAAAAAAAAAAAGGATAAGGACTGACTGGGAGGTGTTCTTGGTCACTGGGAAGCATTAGTCAATACTGTTTATGAAATATTAAATTACAATTCCTCCACCAGTTTGGGGATATTCTTGAAGTAAGAAATAAGTTTTCTTCAATAAGAATATTTCGTAATACCCTAGTGTTAATATACTGTACCTGTTATGTCTACATAAATCATACTTGTACTCTTAAGTGCATAATGAACCAATTTGGGTTAAGATTCAGTAGAGACCAACCATGGAATACTATATTAGTTTGTAAATATGGAGACACAGCAAAAATATATATATGCCTGTATATACTTTAATTGCAAATTTGTATTTTTGCAGTTACTGTATATTTTGATTTTCCAATTTCTCTAAAATAAGTAGTCAGTCAATCAACAAATGTCTCTTTGTTAAGTGAATCTCCTGCGCATGCTCAAATGCTGGAATTTATCAGTCACAAGATGGCTTCTCTGTGTGAAGGATGCTATTGCTCAGAATTGCAAACCATTCAACGTGTTTTTGTAAATAACGCCACAGCAATAGAAATTTTCAAGGCCTATGGTGTTCTGCAAACTTTTGTAGTGTCCAAACTGTGGTGTAGACTGTCATTAATATGAAGATAATCACATTTGGTTTTTCACAAAGCAATGCAAAGTCACCAAGACAAGGGTAAGGTTAGGTTTTCTTAGGTTTGGTTTGGTCAGTTTTTGGGCATGATTTTACTGCACAAATTCTCTCTACTCCAAAGCACTGTCCAGTTTGTGTGATCAAAATTGTACAAGTACCCTTTTAAGCAAAATACAAGTCAAAATAGAACTACAAAAACACTAGTATTCAATAAAGTATTCTTTTTTCTTTTTTGCTTTACCTCCTGATATAAAAATCAACATGCATAACAATTTAACTATCTATCTGCATCACTAAAAGGTCACCTCTGCTAAAATTAGACATAATTCATCAGTAAAAAAACTGAAGCACCAAAAATGCAAAGGCCAATGCCTATTTGTTACTTCTTAAAACAGTACATTTTGTCCCTGTGGTTAATATATAGGACTAACCCACCGGGGCTGCATAGTGCCGATGCGGCCATATCATCTCACGTCCAGAAAATGCCTCGAATTTCACCATATCATAGTAAGTTCTTTCTGTTTAATATTCTGGGGAAGTTAGGTAAGGTTTGGTTGGTTAGGTCTGTTCTTCATACCTACAAATGTTAAGTAGCATTTATTTTTTAAAATATCAATTTTTTTTTGTTATTTCCACAAACAAAAACAGTCTCCACTATAATATAACAATGAAAATCCGGCGTTTATATAATCGTTTTCAATAAATTTCGCTTGCGGGTTAGTCCTATATAATTACCGTCCTTGTTCTACCAGCATCTTACCACATATATATATTTTTGCATTAAGATAAATATTTAGTGAAAATCCTAAGAAATTTAACCACTATCAAGAATGAACGTTTAAAATGTCTGCTTTAATGAAAGTAGAAAGTTCAAGAACGTGTCACACACTGTTGGCAGGTACTGGGTATGCACCGACTCCTGAATGTACCTGAACCCGCTCCAGTGTTGGTCAAGTCTTGTCTTGAAAGAGCTCACACTCGGTGCTAATAAATGCTAATAAAGTTATAGCTCTGAAAACATGAGCATCTATGCATAAAAGTTTTTCAATGACGAAAATTATCCTGTACTATAGGCAAGACATTTAAACACGAAGTTTCAAAACCTGGGATCATTTAGTATAATATAAACTCTTACCTTACTGTCTAAATCATGTAATTGTCTCCCAATATATTTAAAATTCCATGTGCTTGTATAAATTGTGCATAATCCAGTTGAAAATTACAGAACATTCACACAAGGAAGGACGGTTGTGTTATGTCAACATACAACAGCTGATGCTCGCTGACGTTCTTCTTGGTGCAGGGATTCATCTGTGTCTCTAACTGGATTCAGAATCAGAAATTCAGAATATCATTTATTAGGTAAAAGTGGACGGTTAACACCAGAAATTGTACGATTACGTTCATTTTTTCCACAGATATTTTTTGGGTGATATTATCTGGTTATCTGATGTACATTCAGGAGCCGGTGCATGCCAACAGTGTGTAACAGAGAGCTGGTACATGCCAACAGTGTGTAACAGAGAGCTGGTACATGCCAACAGTGTGTAACAGAGAGCTGGTACATGTCAACAGTGTGTAAGAGAGAGCTGGTACATGCCAACAGTGTGTAAGAGAGAGCTGGTACATGCCAACAGTGTGTAAGAGAGAGCTGGTACATGCCAACAGTGTGTAAGAGAGAGCTGGTACATGCCAACAGTGTGTAAGAGAGAGCTGGTACATGCCAACAGTGTGTAAGAGAGAGCTGGTACATGCCAACAGTGTGTAAGAGAGAGCTGGTACATGCCAACAGTGTGTAAGAGAGAGCTGGTACATGCCAACAGTGTGTAAGAGAGAGCTGGTACATGCCAACAGTGTGTAAGAGAGAGCTGGTACATGCCAACAGTGTGTAAGAGAGAGCTGGTACATGCCAACAGTGTGTAAGAGAGAGCTGGTACATGCCAACAGTGTGTAAGAGAGAGCTGGTACATGCCAACAGTGTGTAAGAGAGAGCTGGTACATGCCAACAGTGTGTAAGAGAGAGCTGGTACATGCCAACAGTGTGTAAGAGAGAGCTGGTACATGCCAACAGTGTGTAACAGAGAGCTGGTACATGTCAACAGTGTGTAACAGAGAGCTGGTACATGCCAACAGTGTGTAAGAGAGAGCTGGTACATGCCAACAGTGTGTAAGAGAGAGCTGGTACATGCCAACAGTGTGTAAGAGAGAGCTGGTACATGCCAACAGTGTGTAAGAGAGAGCTGGTACATGCCAACAGTGTGTAAGAGAGAGCTGGTACATGCCAACAGTGTGTAACAGAGAGCTGGTACATGCCAACAGTGTGTAAGAGAGCTGGTACATGCCAACAGTGTGTAAGAGAGCTGGCTGCAACAGTGTGTAACAGAGCTGGTACATGCCAACAGTGTGTAGAGAGCTGGTACATGCCAACAGTGTGTAACAGAGAGGCTACATGTCAACAGTGTGTAACAGAGAGCTGGTACATGTCAACAGTGTGTAAGAGAGCTGGTACATGTCAGCAGTGTGTAACAGAGAGCTGGTACATGCCAACAGTGTGTAACAGAGCTGGTACATGCCAACAGTGTGTAACAGAGAGCTGGTACATGCCAACAGTGGTATAAGAGAGCTGGTACATGCCAACAGTGTGTAAGAGAGAGCTGGTACATGCCAACAGTGTGTAACAGAGCTGGTACATGTCAACAGTGTGTAAGAAGAGCTGGTACATGCCAACAGTGTGTAAGAGAGCTGGTACATGTCAGCAGTGTGTAACAGAGAGCTGGTACATGCCAACAGTGTGTAAGAGAGCTGGTACATGCCAACAGTGTGTAGAGAGCTGGTACATGCCAACAGTGTGTGAAGAGAGGCTGGTACATGCCAACAGTGTGTAGAGAGCTGGTACATGCCAACAGTGTGTAACAGAAAGCTGGTATGTCAACAGTGTGTAACAGAGAGCTGGTACATGCCAACAGTGTGTGAGAGAGCTGGTACATGCCAACAGTGTGTAGAGAGCTGGTACATGCCAACAGTGTGTAAGAGAGCTGGTACATGCCAACAGTGTGTAAGAGAGCTGGTACATGTCAACAGTGTGTAACAGAGAGCTGGTACATGTCAACAGTGTGTAACAGAGAGCTGGTACATGCCAACAGTGTGTGAGAGAGCTGGTACATGCCAACAGTGTGTAAGAGAGCTGGTACATGCCAACAGTGTGTAAGAGAGAGCTGGTACATGCCAACAGTGTGTAAGAGAGAGCTGGTACATGCCAACAGTGTGTAAGAGAGAGAGCTGGTACATGCCAACAGTGTGTAACAGAAGCTGGTACATGCCAACAGTGTGTAAGAGAGCTGGTACATGCCAACAGTGTGTAAGAGAGAGCTGGTACATGCCAACAGTGTGTAAGAGAGAGCTGGTACACAACAGTGTGTAAGAGAGAGCTGGTACATGCCAACAGTGTGTAACAGAGAGCTGGTACATGTCAACAGTGTGTAACAGAGAGCTGGTACATGCCAACAGTGTGTAAGAGAGAGCTGGTACATGCCAACAGTGTGTAAGAGAGAGCTGGTACATGCCAACAGTGTGTAAGAGAGAGCTGGTACATGCCAACAGTGTGTAAGAGAGAGCTGGTACATGCCAACAGTGTGTAAGAGAGAGCTGGTACATGCCAACAGTGTGTAACAGAGAGCTGGTACATGTCAACAGTGTGTAACAGAGAGCTGGTACATGCCAACAGTGTGTAAGAGAGAGCTGGTACATGCCAACAGTGTGTAAGAGAGAGCTGGTACATGCCAACAGTGTGTAAGAGAGAGCTGGTACATGCCAACAGTGTGTAAGAGAGAGCTGGTACATGTCAACAGTGTGTAACAGAGAGCTGGTACATGTCAACAGTGTGTAACAGAGAGCTGGTACATGCCAACAGTGTGTAAGAGAGAGCTGGTACATGCCAACAGTGTAAGAGAGAGCTGGTACATGCCAACAGTGTAAGAGAGAGCTGGTACATGCCAACAGTGTAAGAGAGAGCTGGTACATGCCAACAGTGTGTAACAGAGAGCTGGTACATGTCAACAGTGTGTAACAGAGAGCTGGTACATGCCAACAGTGTGTAAGAGAGAGCTGGTACATGCCAACAGTGTGTAAGAGAGCTGGTACATGCCAACAGTGTGTAAGAGAGAGCTGGTACATGCCAACAGTGTGTGTAAGAGAGAGCTGGTACATGCCAACAGTGTGTAACAGAGAGCTGGTACATGTCAACAGTGTGTAACAGAGAGCTGGTACATGCCAACAGTGTGTAACAGAGAGCTGTACATGCCACAGGTAAGAGAGAGCTGGTACATGCCAACAGTGTGTAAGAGAGAGCTGGTACATGCCAACAGTGTGTAACAGAGAGCTGGTACATGCCAACAGTGTGTAACAGATAGCAAGTACATGCCAACAGTGTGTAACAGGGAGCTGGTACATGCCAACAGTGTGTAACAGAGAGCTGGTACATGCCAACAGTGTGTAACAGAGAGCTGGTACATGCCAACAGTGTGTAACAGAGAGCTGGTACATGCCAACAGTGTGTAACAGAGAGCTGGTACATGCCAACAGTGTGTAACAGAGAGCTGGTACATGCCAACAGTGTGTAACAGAGAGCTGGTACATGCCAACAGTGTGTAACAGAGAGCTGGTACAAATTTATTGGCAGAGCTTGTAGTACAGTTTGCCTATTCTGAGTAATTCAGTCAGGTCTTGACACTGAGGGTGGTATCACTTCTCACTGTCACGCAGGACAGAGGTTCACACACAAAGAAATACATCATATTCATTAACAACTATAAGTGTATATAGGTCAGGTTCATATGGATAATGTCACTGTTCACTGCCATGCAGGACAGAGGTTCGTACACAAAGAGTTGCATCATATTCATTGACAGTACATATACATATATGTAAACACACACACACACATATACATACATATACGTATATACATACACATATACATACACGTACATATACATGCACATACACACATACATACTTATACGTCGGTCAGATTCATGTGGGTAATGTCACTTTTCACTGCCATACAGGACAGAAGTTCGTACACAAGATGCATCATATTCATTGACACTATATATAGGTCAGATTCATGTGGGTAATGCCACTGTTCACTGCCACGCAGGACAGAGGTTCGTACACAAAGAAGGAAATACATCACATTCCAGCAGCATATATAGGTCAGTGGATCACATACATTGGAGTCATATTCTAATTGAAGACTAATCAGTGTGGGCTAGCAAATTTGGGATAAACAGCAAGAATCCTCAAGCACACCTGATTCAATGGTAATTACATAGTTCAAGATACAGTAAGTCAGGTGGCCTGAAGTCTTTGACAGTGTCACATTCAATAATATAGTGTTCAAGTGTATGCTTCAAGGTTTATCACAAAGTTTACATGCTGAGTGTTCCGGTATGGGTACAGCGTTACTAACTTGCCAGATGTGTCTGTATCCTAGCCTAATTCTGGCCGACTACATCACATTGTCTGGTTCTGTCCTTATGCTGGCCATACCGGTACCTCTTGTTACAAAATTTGTCATATTTACTAATGCTACAACTGTCAGGCCTCTCTGCATTTCTCACTTCTTCTAGATCAGAGTTCATGATTCTGACTTGAATGTTTTAATTACAGCATTGGACAGACCAAGGTCGCGGTCAACATTTTCTTTCTTACATGCCTCATTGGCCAGTCTATCAACATGGTCATGATACCTGATTCCAACATGGGACGGAATCCACACAAATTCGATACAAAAGTTGTTCTCATTGGCAGTTATCACATTCCTTTTAATATCACATGCAACTTTAGACATAGAGCCTGACGGGCTGTTCATTGATTTCAAAGCACTTTGAGAGTGTGGGGTTCAAGATGTTTGGTTCCACCTCAGGATGGGATGGAGAAAGGAAACTCTAATGTGCTCTCTATATAGGCTACATGTTGTATTGGATGTACAATGCAGCTTGGTGCTGGGAAGGCGGCATGGTTACAAGCGTGATGTAAAGAGACCTGGTTGGTGAGGACGCTCAGAGAGGACAGCTTGTGGTCGCCATGCTCAGGCAAGCGGAGGAGGAGGAGGAGGGCCGCCAGGGCAACCGGCGGAGGTGTTGCTGGCTGGTTGGTGTGGGTAGAAAAAGAGATCACCACAGGTCAGGTCTTAAATAGCGGGGTTGGCGTGGCTTAGTAGTTGACCCCCGCTCCGTGATGTATGGCGGCGCTGGTTGACCCAGACCACGAG